TTTAATCGAACGTGGTCGTGTCAATAACATGATTAGTGAAAACTTCTCCACATTTTCGCATTTAAAAACAGCATATGGCCAATTTGGCTAGATAGGGAAGAAAACATGTAAAAATAGATAGGTAGGCCTAGGTGCACACAATTTGAAAGCAAACAGGTCCGCTCTGCCAGTTCTGACATATCCGATGATCTACATATGCATTGTTCTCAATTAGAAAAATTTGTCTGCCACTCCGTTTTTGTGGCAGCGAGATTCAAAATATGCATCCTTCTTTAAAAAACGTTGTCTCACGCACAGATGGTAAAAGGATAGATAGAAAATATGCAAACGCATACGTGAGTAAAAGGGTAGAAGAATGGGGAGGTAGGTATCCAGTGTTTGCATCACAAGTAGATTTAGGCCATACATCCGTGAATAGTGGGCTTAACTTAGAAAATACCTATAACTTTAAAAAAGAAAATAAATTAATTTGTGTGAGTTTGGCAATACATCAAAAATACACAAATATTTAATTATAACAATGCAATTTTTACCAGATCAATATTTACACACTTGAAACTGTTTTTAAATTCAAAAATATATATATGTTCAAAATATTGTTTTAAATGCTTTTTAAATCCTGCCTTAAAATTTTTCTAAACACATTTCCGTTTGTTTGACTACGTAATTGAGTCACATCTGGATGTTCATGGGCGTGTTTTGATCTTTGGTGTGCTGCAAAGTTCTTTTTATTAAACTCGTTGTGTAAAGGATGCAGGCGATTAAGAGGAGTCGATTGTCGTATTTGCTTTTTTCTTCACCTTGGCAGTCTGTATACAAGGAATATAGTGGCTCCACGGGTTGAAAGTCGTTTTCTTCACTTGACGAATGTGTCTGTGTTGAACGTCGGGAATAACCGAATGTGATCAGTTGCCATGTCTCTGCACTAATTGCATTTGGCTTGCCTCTGTTGGAAGTAGAGGCTGTTGGCAACTTTGCTAAGTTTTGAAGGAGTCTATTCTAACCTGCAGTCTTGGTTACTTGGACTTGTCGGAGAACAGAATCGTTTGACTTTCGAAGAACCTTTGGAAAGAGGAGAATCTGGAACATCTGCCTATAATGGGTAATTGCCGTTATGTTATGTCAAATAATATTAATGCGTAGCTATGCTTTTAAGTGTTAGGAAGTGGGTAATGGACATCCTTATTAGTACATTTAGACAATCACATACGAATGCTTGCTACGGCATCATCTCACTTGTCGTTTTCACAGATGACATGCAGGAAATATTGGTGACAATTTTTTCATCTGTAGAGACGGAAAGGTAATTTGCGGATAATGAAAGAGGCAGCGGAGTGCACTCGATAACCTGTATCCTGATGCTCATTTGATCCCTAGCTAGGGCTTCCTCTATGAAGAGTGTTCCGCGGTTAGTCACTGGGAATGGACTCGCAACCGTTTACGACAAGGCTGAGTCATCGTCGACTTCTGTGGGTAGTCTATGTTCTTTTCACATTGCTTTTGTTCCTTTTCGACCCCTAGACAAGTATTCATAAGCATTCTAGCCCTCTCATAGTGATTCCAAAATGACGGCATTACTGTTCAGTGCTTTGTTTTTAGGTCCATATATGTGAGTATCATTTTCCCTCCGTATGTTCTGTTGTTTTTTGCTACCTGCCCACTGCAGTTCGTCTACGTCCGCTTATTGCCGCCCATAACTGCCTGTAAAATTTAGCAGATAATATAACTAGGATGTGAGAATGCGGGAGATAATTTACTCTTTAGCTGTTATCACAT